TTAAGTCGCTGGGGTATATTTGTAGCAATAGCCAACAATACATTGTATGGGTCAAAATGATCAATTTTTCTTTAATGCCAAAAATCATTAGGATATTAAGTAAAGATCATGTTCCATGAAGACATTTTGTAAATTTCCTACTATAAATATATCAAAACTTAATTTTTGATTAATAAGATGCATTGCTGAGAACTTCATTTGGACAACTTTAAAGGGGTCATATGATGCTGCTAAAAAGAACATTATTTTGTGTATTTGGTGTAATGAAATGTGTTTATGCGGCTTAAGGCTCAAAAAACGCATTATTTTCCACATACTGTACATTATTGCTTCTTCTCTATGCCCCGACTTTCTGAAATCTTAACTTTTATAAAGAATATCTCTTTGGATTTGAGACTTTAGTCTTTGCAACTTTACAGATCTTCTTTATGCACCAAGAGCTTGTAACACTCCAAAGAGAAAGGAAAACTTGAAATCGCATCATATGACCCCTTTAAAGGCGATTTTCTCAATATTTAGATTTTTTGCACCCTCAGATTCCAGATTTTCAAATAGTTATATCTCAGCCAAATATTGTCCTATCCTAACAAACCATACATCAATGGAAATGTATTCAGCTTTCAGATGATGTATAAATCTTAATTTCAAAAAATTAACCCTCATGACTGGTTTTGTGGTCCAGGGTCACATATGTATTCCAGTTGTTGCAGGTCACTATTCCAGTGTTGCTTGTAAGTGCTGGAGTGTTTGTAAGCAACTTGTCGGCATGATTCAATGACAAAAATATGCAGTATGTGTAATGTAACAGTTACTTGTCACTATAGTAGTGAGTGAATAAGTATTAGTGACTGAATATAATAGATACTAGTCACTACTGAAATAAATACTAATTTGTAATGAATAGTTACTAGAGAAATAATAAGAAAACATAGCAATCACTCTGAGATTACTTATGAGTAATTAACACATGAAAACGAGTAATAACAGTAGACTTTAGTTAAAGGTATTTATGTTAAAACAGCTTGCCATTGAATGCTTTCTTTCTGCCAAAAATTGATGAAATGGCATGAGCATCTGTCGCCTGTGGCGCTGCTCTCCAACAAATAGCCTGTTTTACCTTTGTGGCATTGTCAGGTTGTTTCAGTGTTCAGAATGAAAAAAAAATTCTTGACAAGTTGAATACATGTCTTTTCATCAATGTTTTGTCATGTTTCCTTTATATGCTTTATACATTTTCGAGGTTAAAATGGTTTTGTGAGCCATGTATTTTCTCAGTTTGCGTTTGTTTTTCTTTCTTCCATCAGGTTGTCCAGGAGTTCAATACACTTGTGGCCCTCTATCGGGAATTGGTTATCTCTATTGGAGAGATTTCCGCTGATTGTCCCTCTCTTCGTGCGGAAATACACAAGACACGCACAAAAGGCTGTGAGATGGCACAGACTGCACATCAAAACCTTTCTGCAATATCAGGGTAAAAACACATATACATACATACATACATGCATGCATACAGGTATTTGATTGTGGATGCAAAGAGTCATGTATTTACATTACATAATAACAGTACATTTTAATGTGGCGTTAGCTTTGTTTAAAATTTATTTCTTATTTTTATTAATTTTTTATTAATTTTTTAATTTCTTTCACAAAAATCCATTTGTTATCAAGCAATAATTAGCTTGTAGTACCCCTTCGGCCCCCCTAGGGGTCATGGGCCCCCAATTGAAATCATGTCATATATTATGAAACTGTGACAAAATTTCACCTTCACAGCAACATAAGGTTATAAATATCAGCTGGTGCTGACTGACATATCATGCACTATATTTGACGAGCAGGGTAAATGCAAATTAAGTTGTAAATTATGCTTTCTACTGTGCATTTACCATAAATCACAGGGCTGTTACATGATTTCATATTCAAAGAACACAATAAATCAATACCACAGCTTTTGATTAGAAATGGCCAAATTGTCCCCCCAATATTTGAAATTCTTGCACTGCTCTGCTGCACTCGATTACGCACCGCTCTGTTTGCTGTTAGGACGACAAAAGGTTTTAAAGTTACATTTTTAAGCTGGTCTGTCTCAGTGTTTTGACAGTGTTTGTCAATGTCAAAATAATTGAGATGGTCAATTGAATTAAACAAGGTGAGGTTTACTGTACATAGAAACCCAGCGTGAATTCCAGCACCAAGCTTCAGTTTTAACATTGATAGAGAGCAAGGTAAGCTGAAAGTAATGAAACAACCGACAGTGATATAAAGTGATTCAAACCAGCCTAAAACTGAATCAAAATTAAAACTGAATGTGATGAAACAACATTTTGCATTTTCAACATATTAAGCATACAAATAAGAGTGAATGTGTGCATATTTGAAAATATTATTTGCAAATAATTCTAAATGATTCCTTAACAACTAGAAATAGACCTAGCGTTTTATTTCTTTATACTTCATTAAAAAATGGTTTGCTACAATGGTCAAGGCGTGGTTATGGCCTTGCTTTACATGATTTATCTTGTATGCATGCATTCGGTGCATCTCTCTGTTCCAAGTAATTCAATAACAGGGGAAAAAAGAACAAGAAAATAAAGTATCCACCATGCCACAGCATTACACCTGGGAATTTTGTGTTGTTATATTTTGTGCATTTAAATGAATAAATGAAATTAATTTAGCCATCATTGCTTTTAATTAATTTTTAATGTTTGAATTTTTGAATCTACAGTGGCTGTTTAATTGTAATGATGGTCCTACAGATTGGAAAAAGGCACTAAGCAATTTCAGTGGAAATAATAAATACAAATATATTGAATTGAATATTGATCAAAAGTCTGAAAAATACCAAGATATACAGTAAATGCTATAGCTGTATTGTCCAGCATGACATACAATGTGTCAGAGATGATTTCCGTCACTGGTCACTTATTGAGGACTGTGAGGCATAGGAACGCAGGGATATGTATCTCGTGAGAAATTAGACAGGTTGAAGCGCAGGGCTTTGGGCCAGAACTCTGCAGAATCCAGATCTAAGATACATTATTGATGCTTTTTTTTCACAGCCCAGAAGATGGAGAAATACATCCGGAGATCTGCCGCCTCTTCATCCAGCTGCAGTGCTGTCTGGAAATGTACCTGACGGAGATGCTGAAGTCTGTGTGTCTGCTGGGATCCCTGCAGCTCCACAGGAAAGGTAATGCTGTGAGGGCGCCCCTAGGCTCTTAGCAGGAAACAGCCACACCAGCGACAGGAAATTGGTGTTGATGAAGCCTGGCTTGTCCAGCTATAGAGCTTTCCAGTGGCTTGATATTTGCAGGAGTCGACACTGCTAGTTTCTGTGAATTGTATCTTATTTGAGCTTATCAGAAACTGTAAATATGGATGCTCTGGGAGCAGGTTGACTTGTTGCCCTGGGGTCAAACCTTGAGATGACATATTTTGACCATTTCTGTTTAGAGTCCGTTAGTGATGTCTCACTGTATGTGTTCCAGGAAAACATTTTTCAGGAGCTACAAAGGTAGAAAGTAAGAAAGAGGACAGCTCTGACATCCCAATCCTGGAAGACACGTCATCCACTCTGCCGGACTGTCCGCAGACATACTTCCTGGTGGCCACAGACATTGAGAACATCGAGAGGTGAATAATCTGAGCTGCTGAACAGGATCTTTATTTTTTTCTATGAAACTGACCGTTTGAATCTGAAACGGTTCCTCGATGTTCTAGGGACATGACAGAAATGAAAAATCTGCTAAGCAAACTCAGGGAGACCATGCCTTTACCACTGAAGAACCAAGGTAATATCTCTCAACTTTCTGAATATTTTACCAACAAATTCATAGAAAACTTCTACAACCATTCAAATGTTTGGGGCTGTAAGATTGTCTGTTTTTGAAAGAGTCAAGAGTCTTATGCTCACCAAGGCAACATTAATTTGATCAAAAAATACAGTAAAACAGTAATATTGTAAAATAGTATTTAAAAAAATGTTGTCTATTTTAATATATTTTTTTAATTGAATTTATTCCTTTGATAGCAAAGTTAATTTTCAGCAGATATTACTCAAGTCTTCAGTGTCACATGATCCTATAGAAATAATTCTAATATGATGAGTTGCTGATCAAGAAATATTTCTTATTGTCAATGTTAAAAACAGCTGTTTAATATTTTTATGGAAACCGCGATACTTTTTCACTTTGATGAATAGAAAGTTTAAAAGAACTCCATTTATCTGAAATCCATTTGAATATTTTGTAACATTGTAAATATCTCTACTGCAATTTTTTATTAATACATCCTTTCTGAATAAAAGTATCAATTTCTTAAAATAAAACCGTACTGACCCCAAACTTTTGAACGGTAATATATTAAGATTCACTTAGCATTAAAGATGTCCTTATACCTAAAAGGATTATTTGCCAGAAAATAATATTAATAGTAATATTAATGTAGTTGCTTCAAGTGACCACATTTTTATTTCCATTTTGCAAATTTCAGAATATCGCAACATTTAGATTTCATTTCAAAATTAGATTTGCAACTAGTTCATGTTGGCTAGATGGTAACAAAATGTTGAATCAGTGTGTTGTCCAATTTCCTACTGCTATGAGAATAAATAGTAATATCTGTGTAACATCAGTAGTCATACAAACACAATATAATATTTTATCAGTATGACAGATTTTCATTTTTAACTGAATGTTCGTCTACATTATGCTTAGTAAAGAAAATGGTTTGTAGTATGAATACTGCTATGTTTGTCCACACGATTCATATGCTGTGCTTTTTGTCAAGACAGGTGTTTTAATGAGGCGTGCTGATTTAAGAGTGCTAATTAGAGCAGAGGTTATGCTGAACATTTAA